GAGGGCTGTTCGGACACCACTGACGAGGGCCAGACTGGCCAGGGATCCCCCTTCACAGGCAGGTCCCCCAGGGCTATGGGATCCATGTGCCCTGGAGCACTCCCAGTCCCTGACATGCCCAGGCCCCCACGGTCCAGGATGTGCTCTGGAGTGGTTGGCAAGTCCACTTAAACACACTGCAGCCCTGGCTCACACCATCCACGTTGGCTTCCATCAGCCATGCTCCCCCATGCTCCCCCATGCTCCCCCACGCTCCCCGTGCTCCGTCATGCTCCCCGTGTTCTTCATGCTCCATCGTTGTCCACCATTGTGCCTGACGAAGTACGCGGCATGTCACTATAGACACCATCCATATGGCTATGAAATGGCACGCCCAGTGAAGAGAAGAGAGGGGATAAACAGCAGAGGAAATCCAGCACTTCCCCATGCAGAAAATAAACACTAATAGCAACAGCTAGATGGGTGGCCACAGGTGATCAAACCTACAGGAAACCAGGCAGATGCAGAAACACGGCCCTCTGGGGCTGGAAAGAGGGATGGGACCCCTCCCCAGGGCGGGAAGGGCAGGAAGATGGCTGGAGGATTACAGGACACATCGTGGAGGCTTCAGACGTTGCAAAGGTAGTGAAGAGAAGAGCATGCAACGGAAGCAGGGCTGCTGTGGGAGACCATCTGGAGCACCGGCCAGCTCCAAAGCCGACCTGCAGAGGGTCAGGCAGAACTGGCCCCGGGAGCCCAGGGGAAGCTGGGACTCAGAGGGAAGGCGCAGAACCCGACTGGGTGGGCTTAGCGGCCAGGCACCCGACGCTGCCGCTGGGCCACGGGGAAGGTCACGCAACAATCCCACAACGGCTTTGCGGAGAAGGTACATTCTGTGCAGAGTTTAAACAGGGAGAAACGTGGCCATGCGAAGTCACCTCCTATAGAGAAAACGGCCCTGGAGGATGAAAGACAGCTGGGGTGGGGGTGGTGAGGGGAGACAGAGAGACAGACGCAGAGAAAGAGAGAGAGAGCGAGGGTGCTCAGGCAGCCCCGGTGCCAGGGCCGTGGAGGAAGCCACTGGGACACTCCAGCCCCAGGACACAAAGGACAATGTGGGCGGTTGGGATTATCCTCGCCGGGCTGATGAACTGGAGAGGCTAAGCGGCTCTCTGGGATCTCTAGACTCTGGGCGTCTACCCAGGTATTTCTACTCTAAAGCCACCTCTGGCTGTCAAAATACCACTTTTCTAGAGGAAGTCTGCTGTGCTTCACCTCTTGTCTTTTGCACGAACATTCCGGCTTTGAATATGTCATGATACTCTTGTATCAAGGTTGTTACGGAAACTGAACCAATAGGAGATATGCATACACAGAGATTGAGAGATTTATTTAAAGGGATTGGCACACGTGATCCTAGAGACTGGCAAATCTAACATTCGTAGCACAGGCTGGGAACCCAGGCAGGGTTTCCGCACCGCAGCCTTGAGGCCGAGTTTCTTCTCCAGGAAACCTCAATTCTTGCTCTTGAGGACTTCAACTGATTGGACGAGGCCCACCCACATTACTGAGGGTGATTTCCTTTACTTTAAGTCAACTGACTGTAGATGTGAAAACCACATCTACCAAATATCTCCAACGCAATAGCTAGATTAGCGTTTGATTCACCGGATGCTATAGCTTGGCCAAGTTGACACGTAAGATTAACAATCACAAGTCTTTTGCTCGGGGCTGAAACGAACCCACCGATATTGGCAGAAAGAACTTTGCTGTGCATCACACCCCACACAGTCTCTGCTCCCCTCCTGTGCCTGGGCCGCTGTGCTTAGGCCATCACAGAACGTGGATGGAGCACGGGCTGCTCTGTGTTGGTGGGAGACAAACGAGGAGCCCCAGTGTGGCTTTATTCGGGTGCAAAGGGTTAATGGCTCATCAGGTTTCCTGTTAGGTTTTTTGGAGGCATCACCAACTAAACAGTAGTTGTTTAAATAATTCAGAAAAGGCAGATTGGAGGGAAAAAAAAGCATAAAGTCCTGAAAAAGCCCTTAAAAAGTAAGTAAAATGCTAAAAAGTAATCAGAGATAGAACGAAAACACGAGAGCTAAAATCCATGATGTCAGCCAAGACTTCGGGGAACGTGGACCATAATGCCCGACACCATAAAAGAATCAGAGCTGAAGAAATCTGTGAGGACGTGAAATGATCAAATCTTTGCAAGAAAGAATAATCTTAACAGTGATTAAACACAAATTTCTTTAAATACTAGCGAGCACTCTTCAAGCACCAAGGGTGGTTTTTAAAAAAGAAGAAGAGTTTTATACTTGTAAAATACAGCTCATGCCTATCTTCTTTTAATAAAGATTTGAGGAAAATACATATTAAACTGGGTAGTCTCAAATAAAGTTAGGTAGGGTTAAGTAAAGATGGATTTGTAATAGACTGGAGAGCACTTTGGAAGGCAGGAGAATAAAACCAAAATGTAGCTGAATGCGTGAGAGCGAAATTCGGCTTTGAGCTTCCTGGCACCCAAAGCAAAAACAGAACGTAAGATCTCCACCATTCCTGTTTTAGAGCATGCATTCTCAATGAGGCAGTATCACCTGTAGGGGTGAAAATCGGTGCTTAGGGAACAAAAAAATCTTACTTGGTTCATGTAAAAGGCAGAGATATACATAACGTACATAAATACATACGTAGTAAATCTGTACTGTTAACATTTCTTGATGGGGAAAGGATTAGGAAAAAATGTCTAAAAAGGCTCCTTGGAAGTTAATGATGAAAGAGAGGTTGAGAAATATATATTTTTTTTCTGAGCAAAAAGATGTATCCTTGCATCTAGTTGGCAAGCGGTGCCCCTTGACCTCATCCCAGGAGTGTCCTGAGAAGACACTTGACACAGGACCCAGCTCTTTCTTGAGTATAGTCTTGCCGTCCAGCCCTTGATTGAAAAGATGAAGACATTTTATGTCTGCATATTCTCCAGCTCTGGACACCAGCGTGGGATTCCCAGCAGTTGGGGAGCGTCTAGCAGGGAGGGGGGATCCACTGAAGTGTGGAGTCTGGGAATTACCCAGGAAGACTTTCGGGAGGAGGCTGTGTGGGGACAGAACTGGAACCCAGATGCCATTCTCGAAGAAAAAGAACTATTTTTTTGTAGGGCCAGGAACTATTTTTACAATTTGGGGCAACAGCTTCTGCAGTGTGCAGTGCTGGCTACCAGGCAAGGACCTGCCACCAGGGGCTGGCCTCTCCCTTGCTCTCCTCTCCCAGGTCAGCATGCCCAATGCACTTATTTTAGGATCTTGGATGGTGTGCAGTTTCCAGTATACTCAAGGGAGGAGGAATATTTCTCTCAGTCAAAGAGTAAGAATTCACAAAGGAAAAAATTCTATATTCACAGGAGTCTCACATTTCCTGGGGGTGGACTGGATATTTACAGCAAGGACAAATAAACTGGGGGCGGGGGGGGAGGGGCAGCGATCGAGTGAGAGAGTCTCCTGGGTTCTGCAGGAGGTTTCCCGGAGGTCTGGTTAACGGGGCCGTGGGGCACGTCCTAGTGGTTGCAACCGGGACATGTGTGGAACAGGCAAGTGTGTTTTACGTGGAAAAGAGGATCCCACCGCCTTCTTTGTTTCTCGCCACCTGAGATCCACAGAGCTCTGGAGTCTGATGTCGAATGACGCATCACACTAAACAAAACCCTCTCTCAAGTCAGCAGCTGCAAGGGGCAGAAACGAGGTGCAGCCGCAGAGTGAGGTTGGGCTGAGGGGAGTTAAGTGGCGGCAAGCTAGGCTCTGCTCTGCTCTTTCTGTAAAGACATGCAGACGCAGAAGGACACAGGTGCTGTCGATCCGGGCCCCCAGGGAGAGACAAGGGGCGATTAAGGAAGATGCACACATACAGAAAAGCGGGTCACAAAGCTCTTTAAGAAAGAAAAAGAGCAACAGTGGCATTTACAGACACATTTTTCTAGGTCAAGGGATAAAAACGGTGATATTCAGACACTGAGTCTTTTTAAATGGCTTTTTATTTTTTGTTGTCAATGCATAACTTTTGAGCCTACTAGAAGAGTATCATGATTATAGTGGATAAAAAAATATAGATGGCAGAATAAAAATATTAGGTTATACAAAGTTAGTTGTTTTGTTTTTTTAATCATCGTCCACCAACATTGTCAGGACTTCGGAGCTTAGAAAAAAAAAAAAATCAACAAAACGTAATTTGTGTTTTTTTTACACTTCCAGCAGTTAAAAATTAAGAACATGTTTTGAGAATCATTTGCAGACGCCTATTACAATAAATGGAAGGACCAAAAACATTAAAACTTAAGTTCTAAGAACCATCATATATACAAACTTCTGTACAGAATGAGGACAGAAAGAACTCACCCAGTTAAAGCCATCTCTGTGCTATGGGCCTTCTCTTTTTAAAAAGAAAGAAAATGGATCTTCCTATACTTGTATTACTTTCCCACTTGATCCAGTATTTCTAATGGTGTCTCCACTCCATAAATTAGTAACTGTTCAGTAGCTGAGAAATAATCCTATTTTAAATTATACCAAAGGAAATTAGGAACTGCCCTGAAAGGCTTGACCTTAACTGCCCCATACAGGTTGAAGATACACTTGACCACAATGTCACACCCACAGAAGGAGGGCTGAGAAAACACCCTTCGGGGGGAAGCTGGGGGTCAGCATCGGGAGAAGAGGAGCACTCGCTCACTACACGGTCTCACGGGTGACGGCCTCACCTCTCCTACAGAGCCAAACCCCGGTCAACCGCGTTCCTTGCTCAGTGTCATTTGGCACAAACGGAGGACTTTTGGGCAAGACTTAGGATCTCTCAAGACAGACATAGTCAGAAGCCCCCAATTTTGAGAAGCACAACAGTACCTTTCAGAACCACATCCACCTTGCTCCCCGGTGCGAAAGGCCACTCACGCCATGGCTGGAAAGAAACTCCTTTTCAGGACAAGCAATTGCACGGCGTGTCCAGGCCCCATGAGGGAAAGAGCAGACACAGGAGAAGGCACAGAGGGAGAGGGAGGGCTGCAGCGGTGTTCTCCACGCGGGCCTGCGGCCTTCACTGCACGATGCCCGAGTCCACCGACGTCTGCTTGCGCGCTGTCTTTGGGGGAGGTGGAGGTGGCGTTTTGCTGGGCAGCGGAGGCGGTACGTGCTGGAAAACACAGACGGAAGGCAGGTGCCGGGTTACTGATGCGCTCCGGCGGGGGGGCCCGAGCGGCGGGCAAGGGGCAGCCACGGAAAGATGCTCTGTACCCCCGGGGGGTGGGGGGCCGGCCCTCTCTGCGTGACCTGGGGCTGGGCAGCTGGTGGCGACAGGCCTTTCTGGCATCTCCGATCAGCTGCTTTCCACAAAGCACATCAGATGTCTGTGCGGCCCCCTGAGAAGGGAAGGCGTTGCTCTCCGCGGTTTTAATTCCTGGTGCTTTGGATCCCCGGGGCCCCTGGAAATGGACTGGTTTCAGACCTGGACAGTTTAAATGGTGAAGAGCCAGGGTAGAGGGGCAGAGCAGACCCAGGGCCACCCCGGCGGCCTGGTGCTGTCCCGGCTGAGCGCTCCTTGATGAGGATCCACGGGCCTTGACTCATGCCCCCTGAGGATGTCCCTCAACTGTTCAGGGACAAACAGGACCTTGGACAGGCTCTCCAAGGGTGGGCGAGAAGCCCCCCCTTTGCTCTTGGAACTGGAAAAGCCGCATGAGAGAGGGTCAGCTGGGTACCTGTGGCCACGATCCAAGGGACTCATTTAAAGGCAGTTTTTCATTCAGTCTCTTCCAAAACTGCAAACTGAGGGGGGATGAGCAACAGTAGGGGATGTTTGAACTCTTCATGAGGGAAACACAAGATATACAGAATGGGCACAGCTGTGTCTCAGTGAAACTATTTATAAAAAAAGGGAGCAGGTCAGGGCGCCTGGGTGGCTCAGTCAGTTAGGCGTCTGACTCTTGATTTCGGCTCTGGTCATGATCTCAGGGTCATGAGACAGAGCCCGAGTTGGGCTCTGTGCTCAGTGGGGAGTCTGCCCAGGATTCTCTCTCTACCTCTCCCTCTGTCCTCCCCCCCACACACACTGTCTCTCTGGACAAGAAAAAAAGAAAAGGCAGCAGGCTGTACTGGGTCCATGGGCCATCGTTTGCCCTTAGAGTCCCACATATGATTTGACAATTGCCAAGGTGCTAGGAAGACCCCTGCTTAAGGGCCCTGTCAGGGCGGGAGTGACTGAGGACAGCCGGCAGCACCCTCACGGCCATCACAGACACCCACCCCGAAGGAGACGCTGTAAATATGCGTGGGTCCAACAAGTAAATGAATGAGTGAGTGAGTGAATGAATGAATGAACGTGGTGAACAGATGAAGCACCGAATGAACGGATGGATGAACAAATGAGCAGACAGGCCACAGGCAGAATGAACCGGAGGGAGATTGCGGAACACTATCACCTAAGCAAGGGGGGCTCTTGTAGCAGCCTCTCGGGGGAGGCTCACGCGTAACGCAATGTGAGGAAAGAAGTTTCAAGGACAGAACAGTGACACAGCAGTCTCTCCCCCGGTGACCAAATTTCCTCCCGATTCGCAGACAAGGAAATACTAAGACAGAAGAGAATAAAGAGGGAAACATTGAACTGAGGCACTGACATTGAGACATTATAAAAAATGAAGTAGAATAGACTCTGAGTTTTCTAAAGGTTGGTAAGAACAGTTAAAAACAGACAAAAGCAAACACCTATTTTGAGATGTGATAAAATGGTTGCTTCCGAACATGTGCAAGCCACCGTGGTGGGTCCGAGTGCGCCAGACTGACCCAGTCAGATGCGGGCACAACGCTGCAGACGTCCTTCGTGCCCGGTAGGAAGATGGCGGGTTTATCGCGATGAAGCAGAATGATAGGTCAGATTACTGCTTCTAAGAGCCATTTGGAAAGAAATGACAGCTTAACGTGGTGACAACCAGAGACAGGGTTGACCACAAGCCCGAGGCCGATCAATGACAGAGGTATCGAGCACCTCCCCCCCGAGGCAGACGAGCGATCATTATCCTACAATAGCCCCCCAGGCCTGCACAGAGGGGCGCACCCTGGAAACACCACCGCCTCCAGCAGATTACGACACACTAATCCACCGGCGTGTCACTGGAACTCGTGCTCGTGCTGCGGGGAAATCAAACAAGAAACACACAGCAACGAGACTTGGGTAATTAATCTAACTGAATTCACAAAGGCTCCCACGTGTTCCTTCCTGACCCAACAGCACATGGCATCAGTCACTTGTAATGATGTAGCAACAGCACCGGAGATGAGAAAATGTTGCCCCTGCATTGATCTGTAACAAAATAGATTTGCTCATAATTCCAAGCTCAGAACTTTCAGTTCACTGGTGGAGGGAGACCCGGGGGACATTCCCGCTTTTCCAGTTATATAAAGGTATGAAAACAAAGGTGTGATCGGTTAACTAAGCTGTTAGAAAAACAACAGCCCAACCAATCAATGTTCTCACTCGACTCCCTGGGCCTCTTCCCTTCTGACTTGGAGTTAAAAGTTGGCGGGAAAGGTCAGACTCCCGTTTCTGTGGTTGCAGCAAACCATTCCAGCCTCCTGCAGAGCCATCACGGGGTAACGTGGCCCCGTCTCCGGGGCCAGTCCCCCATCATGGCATCTCTGGGGACAGAGGGCCAATCGGAAAGGCACTGTGGCCTCTGAAGGTCAATCATCCCTTCAGCATCCAAGATGAAGTCCCCCTGCTGGTGTGTGTTTTTAGATAAAAGGAAGAATCGAATACGTGTACTGTAAATAAAGCCCCTCTCTTCTGCCCTGCTCACTAGAGGAGATAATAACCTTGCAGAACACTCCATAAAAAAGTACCCATAGAAAGAAAGAAAGAGCGAGCACATGGATTTATACTGGTTTTTAGGGGGGAAAGTGTGCACCCTGACCTCAGCCTGCAGCCACCCGAGAACAGAAAACCTTGAGAACCAGAAGAAGAATGGGTTGGATCTTTAAGGAATGTTTCCAGAGCGGGATGGATGCCACAGAACCAAGGTCCCGTGGACAGAATTCTTATCGCTTTGACCTCTTTTGTCAAAATCAAACGTGGGCTGGCCCAAAGCAAGCACGCTAACATCAGCAAGGAGGGAGGAGTTCCATTTTGTGGCGGGAACGATTTTAAAAACCCACGTTTCGGGTTCCTGGCTGACTTACCCTCTGGTGAGGAGGAGGGGGCGGGGGTGTGGGCGAGCTGATCAAATCCTGGTTTTCCACCAAGTTCCCATAATCCGCCATGCTGCCTTTGAGAGGCAGGGGGGGCGGGACCTCGGCCGTGTCCATCCCAGTCACGCTGCTCATGCCGTTCAGCTCCAAACCTGGAAAACCGGATCGACTGAGAATCAAACGTCCCCACTGAGTGCCCAGGCGGCTGCTTCACCTTCTCTACGGGAGAGGCAAGCGGGGGGGTGGGGCGGGGGGAGAAACGCGTGTCGACTGAGAAGAGAGGCGAGCTGGGAGGGGCAGAGAAGGTGAAGGGTCGGATCCCCGCCTAAAGGCATGTTCTAGAACAAGAATACCAAAGTGCCACAAAGACATCTAAAACAGGAGTTTAAAGGAGGCGTCGATCCACTGTACAAATAGCCATGTCAAGCCTGGGCCCCTATCAGCCCCTCCCGGGCCTCTGCGTGTTGGTGGCATCTAAACAGCGGGGTGTCACAAGGACTGTCTACCCACGTGTTTTCAGAGCCTTAGCCAGCGTCCTGCGGCCATTACTAGGAGGGCTGCACGAAGCGAAAGCCAACGATGCGGCAGCCAGCCAGTCACCCACCCTTCAAACCTCTCTCGACAGGGAGACCCACGATGGTACAAAACGAAGTTATTAGCAGTCATGGGCACTGTGGTTGTTACTTTTAAAGAAGCCAAGGGGGAAGTGCAATTGATTTTTAAAGCCAACTGAAAAAACAGCCAGTTTCAAATGGAAGGATAATCATCAAGACACGATACTCTCTCAACCCTCGTGGAGGCTCGTAGGGAAAAAAATTGTTTTTCTTTTATATTAGAGAAAATTGACATTTTTACTGATGGGTCCCACTGGATGAAAACTCCTTCATGAGGGGAAAGGCTTCCTGGGGGAGTTGTGGGTTTCTCAGGGAGGCTCGCCAGTGAATCCAAGCATCGAGACAAAACGAGTCTGATGGAATGAACACCCTTGTGACTTCTCGCTCGCCTGCTTATCTGTGTTGTGGTAAACTACACAGAACATACAGTTTGCCATTTTAACCATAATTCATTGTATAAATCAGTGGCACTGGTTACGTTCACAGTGTTGGGCAACCATCACCGCTATCCGTTTCCAAACTCTCTTATCATCCCGACCATATTTAGAGAAAATAATAAAATATTTTTAGAAAAAGATTCTGGGATAATAGTATAAGGATATGAGGATGTAACACCCAGAGACCGTCGCCTTCCCAGCGGCTGGGAAGCTGCTCCCTCAGTTAGGCTCCTCCACGGCTACAGGGCTAACCCCCGACCTGATGGTCCCCAGAATGGCCACCGCTCCCCTTTCGGCAAGAAGAAAACCAGGTGCAAATGACAATGGTCCGTGCCTTCCAGAGCCTCTGCATAGGGCAGAGGAAGGAAGGTGGGTCCTCCGGAGGAGGAAGGTGGGCCTGCACTCCCTGCCACCTTCTTCCTGCCAAGACCTCTCCTCTCTGGCAGGCCTGGATTTAGTGCTGAAAAGCTGACTGCCCCTGGTAGTGGGTTGAATCATGTCCCTCCAAAATACATGTCCACCCAGAACCCCAGACCGTGACCTGATTTGAACATAGGCTCTTTGCAGATGAAATGAGTTAAGGATCTCAAGATGAAATCATCCTTGATTTACGGTGGGACCTAAAGCCAAGAGACATTGCAGTGTCTTTATAAGAAGAGGAGAGGACTCAGGAGGTAGGCCACATGAAGAGAGAGGCAGGGATTGAAGGGGTACATCTGTAAGCCAAGGAACACCGAGGATTGTCAGAAGCTACCAAGGCATGGAACAGAGTCTCTCTCTGAGCCTCTGGCCTCCACAAGGGTGAGGGAATAAATCTCTATTGTTTTAAGCAAATAGGTTTATGGTAATAAGTCACGGCAACCCTAGAAATTGGGAAAAACTAGAAAAATTAGTTATGTGCTTAGCTCTTCAGAACAGTCTGGAAATGCTTCTTCACTTTACGTTCCTCCTGAACACAGGAAGGCCCAAGACCCTCGTGGGGTTCGCATCCTATGACACAAAGAGGGAGGCTGTCCATGCGCCCAAGCCTCTCCCCGCACAAGGGGGAGCTCACTCCCCCCTGCCACCAGGGAACTTGGGAAGACCGGTGTGTCGAAGCCCAAGGGGGGACTCCCTGTACGCTGGGTGTTTGGGGAAACTCCATCTGGGGCAAGGTGAGGAGGCGAGCCTAACTTCACAGCGTCAGGGCAAGGAGGGAGTCACAGAGCAACGTCACCAATTCCAACGTGGAGAATGTTCCACTCACTTGACTGCAAACTGAAGCTGAGCTTGGCCCTTGGCGTGACCGGAGGGGGTGCTGGCTGGGAGGACGGTGACGACGGGGACACTGAGAAACGTCGTTCACTTCCAGTGACATTGAGCACCTGGCTCTTCGGTCTCTGGGGCCGCAGGGGGCTTATCTAAAGCGCAGGAAAGAGCACAGTTAGGTTCTGCCATGGCTGAGCTGTGTCCCCCACGACTCACAGGTCGAAGTCCTCACCCTCAGCACCTGTGACCGTGACCTCACCTGGAAATACACTCCTTTGCAGGGGAGGCCATTAGGGTGGGCCCTAACCTGACAGGACTGGTGTCCTTATAAAAAGGGGGGATCTGGACACAGACACATGCACATGGGGAGAACTCCAGGTGAACGTGCGGGCGCAGATCAGGGCGATGCCTCTGTGAGCCAAGGTATGCCAAATATTGCCTCGGGGGAGGCCTGGACAGGGCGAAGGTGCACGGGGACTGGCAACAGTCCTATCCCAGGAGGCACGTTCTGATGACTCAGGAAACCGAAGGATGCTTTCCTGGTGCAATGCAAATCTCCCCTGGAGGACCCTCCGTCCCGCCCCAGGCTCTGAGTCTCAGCTGAAGGTCATGAGACTGTTGATGATGCCAAATCAAGCAGGAAGCTGAGCCCAGCCCCCCGGAGGGACAGAGGTATAGCCACTGTCGAGCAGAAGCTTCGGGGACCAGGTGTGGGGCGAGAAGCTAAGGCCACCCCGGTAGGCCCAGGGAACACCAGTGGGTGCTGGCCTTGCCCCGGGGCATGGCGCTGCTGCTTCCCCTCGGGCAAACCTGCCCCAACCTGCCCCCCTGCTCTGCCCCGCGGCCCCTGGCTTGTCCCGGGCACACGGAGGATGGCCTAGGGAACACCTCGCAGACATCGCTGACCACTGTCCTCTGGAGGACGAGGCCCTCTGGGGAGAGACAGGTAGCTGGGCTGGACCGAGAACAGTGAGTCTGCCCCCAGCCAGAAGTCTTCCTGTCCCTGGAACCGCCGCGGCTGCAGTTATTGAGAGTCGTCAGAGGCTGACCGGGGCCGGGTCCTGTGCTCCGAGCCTGACGGTCCCCAGCGTTCGTTCCTGTGCACTTGCCGAGGGCACCTCAGCCCCACTTTGGCCGAACTCGGCCCATCTCTGCTAGTGTCCCCACAAGCCAACAGGGCCACAGTGGGGAGGGACAAAACCTGTGTGGGACGGCCAAGTGCCTGGCCCGACCTTCGACCTCTTTTCACACAACTAACCGTGAGCTCTGCCATGGGGTTCAACTTCCCTCAGGCCCCTGGTTTTAACAGCTTAAAAGGGAGCTTAAATGAAAATACATGAAAGGACATGCGGTGTGTCTGGCCCCTGGTAAATATCTTGTGCTTCTGTTAATTCCCCCACCCAGTTCTGATGTTCTGAGACTTGAGATCTCTCTCCCGGGCTTGAGGGACGGTGACCTTGGCTATGTCAGCAAGGTCACTGTCACCCCAGCTGTCCAGAATAGTGGCCAGAGAACACTGGGTGGTTCATCAGAGACCTCTTCCTCCGGCTGCTGGAGGCCCAGCGCCTGGCCAGTCCCCTTCCTGCGCTCTCACGCCCCTGGCCACACTCAGGGCTGCAGTCAGAGCTGTGTCTAAGGCCTCAGAAGGCATTCGCCTTCTTGAAGGCCGTGTCGTGGCCCCCGAATCTGCCTTCTGCCTCTAGATAGCCAAGCAACACATGCCTGCCTGTCTGAACGGCACGCAGTGTAGGTGAGTCGTACCCTCTGGCTTTGAGATATAAACACGCCAAGAAACATGTCTTATTAAAAGGGGGTCCCACGTGAGCCCTTTTGTCAAGCAACCCTTCAATCACAGCCAGGACAGGCCAGGGGCTCCTGCCTGGGGCGGGCACGTTCCTGGCCACCGTCTGGACAAGGGCCCATCGTTTCTAGGGGGTGGCGGCTCTGGGCCTGACTTAACCTTTGAAGCTGACAGCCTGTGAGAGCCTTTCCTTGATTTCGTTTCCAGCCCACAAATAGCGCTTTCTGAATCAAGTTCACCAGAGAAGCTACCCGTGCCTCCTTTGTACCCTCAGCCTCCACCACCGCTGTGCGCTCCGGGGAACAGCAGGACATGCGGTGTGTCCAGTGCGTGCGGCACGGGTTCAGGTGAAACCCCAGAAAGTCCTTCTGAAACATGGCAGAGAAGTAAATGTGGGGCAGATGAGGCAGGGAGGCCAACGTGGAGCCGCGTGCTGCGGGCAGATCCCAGCAGGAAGGGCTTTGGGACTCCCGCCGAGCAGATTCTAACTGGGCGAGTACCTGGGGCTTAGAGATTTTGGGTCAGGAAGGGGACAGGCAAAGGCGACAGCCGACCTGGAGGACTGTTTTCAGACAAGAGAAGCATTCCTGTTCATCTTCTGAGATGTCAGGATGTGTCTTGGAAGCAAGTCCTACATTGCTGCCAAGAGCCTAGAACCAGCGGAGTCCCTTTGGGACGGGCGATGAATGCTAAGAGAGGAGCTCCACTCTGAGCCTCCGGACGCCCTACGGCATTGGGTGATACAAGAGGAGGGTCGGGGGAGACCTCAGATTTGCACAGTGACTGTTGGATAGAAAATTCAGTGAAATCCAATTGACAGCTCCATTGGCTAAATGCAAAGCAAAGGTAGGTCCCAGAAGCTAGGGCAGAGTGGGGAAGAAGGTTCCCTGAGGAATTACCGTCTCGGAAAGAATCACAGCCTCAGACTGCTGCCCAGAAATGTCAGTGGGTTTAAATTCCTTATCAAATATCTCTTGATGTTTGCTGTTCCTTTTTTCCTTCTTCTTGTCCTTCTTCTCCTTCTCTGGGTCGTCCTTGTCCAGCTTGTCCTGGGACCTGGAGTGCATTTTCTTTGGCAGGAGAGGCTCCAGAGCAAACCTAGAAGAAACGGTTCTTTAAATCACTCATGACTTAAGTGGAGAACAGTTGCTTCTCACCCAGCAGATAAATGGGAGCCCGGTCCCGAGGAATCTGAAGCGCTGCCTGGGAACTGCGCAGGCTTACAGGAAAGGAAGGATTTAGAGAGGCCAAGGGGGAATTAAGATACATACTAACCAGCTGTAACAGAGAGACTCCGTTTGCAACCGGACAAGATCCAACTGGAAAGAAACAGAGACAAAGCGGAAAGAAACAGAACAGCATAGGAGCACGGGGCAGCTGTGGTCTGAGTGGACAGGCCACAATGACATAAAAGAGATTATCGCAGATTTCTGATGGGAGGATGGTATTTAGGCTATGTTTCAAAAGGGGCGGCCTCATCTTGTAGAGATTCATACTCAAATATTCACAAATGCAATAAGAAGAAATAGGCAGATGCTAATGCAAAGAAATTTCTGATATCTTGATTCTGACCAAGTTCCTACAGCCAGCTCAAGATTACAGATATGTCGGCTGCTTTAATTTGAAAGCCTTTTGGATGGCTCCATGAGAAGCAAGCCGATTCCAGCTCGTAGGTACCTGAAGAGGCCCTGCGTTTTTCAGCACGGAGCACTGAGCTGGAAGACCCGGGTACTGGCTCTGCCACCTACTGGGGAGTCTCCAACAAGCCCTAATCCCTGTGGGCTGGACATCCCCAGTCTCAAGACAAAAGGAGGACACCACCGCTCTTGTGCCTACTGATACCAACTGGCTGGTATAAAACCATGTTAATGGTTAGTCTACGGAGTAAGTGGATCTTGGATTAGCTTCTAAGGCACGTGTCAAAGCTGACTATGCACACAGATCTACGTGCAATTGTAGTTTGCTATTTTAACACAAGACTGGGGCCGTGGTGGTAGTGGTGGTGGGGGGGCGGGGGGGGGGTCCATCCTGTCTCTGTCCTAGTAAGTCAAATCAGGAGGGAGAAGAAATGACTCAGTTCTAAGGTTGGAGTTACATCCTCTGCAGCAGGAAGGAGTTAGGAGGGAGGGCCAACATGGATGATGGTATGAAAATATCTTAAAAACTTTATAAACTTCCAGTTATAAAATAAATAAGGCACAGGAATGAGAAGTACAGCATAGGGAATATAGTCAATAAAAATAAAATAATCCTCAAGATTTTATTCTAGGTTTTGTATAACTTGAGACAATTAACGTAGGGGGAAAAAATAAGATCGATGGACAACTTTCAGCTCAGGGGGAACACCTATAAACATCGCGATGAGTACACAAAGAGCCAAGAGAAAGACAGGTTACATTTAAAATTTTTCACATTATGAGAAGCACCTGCCGACAAGATGAACTTTTATTCTGCATGTAACCTGTGCCATTTGGGACCAAAGTCTCATTTTCTCCACATTAATTACACAGCTAAGGGTGGTAACCCTAGAATGAACAAAAATCTGGAGTCTAATAAAGATGCCTCCCAGTCCAAGGTTAAACAATGCCTCCTGGGAGAAGGAGGTGTGTATTCACACGTGTGATACACCACACCTCTATCTAAGACCTCTAGATCAATTTCCACCCTTACCCCTACGTTCTTGGAAATGTAAAAACCTTTTCATAACTAGCTTGGGGATTTTCCTGGGGAAAAGTTGAATTATATTTCTTTAGCAATCTTGCTCTAAGTGACAAGCACACATGATTTAAATTCCTTTAAATTGAGAATTTGCATATGGATTTGGCTTTATAAGTAGCAGACACTGATAAATATTACTGTTAAGAAAAAAAAAATGTGGGTTTAGTTTTCAATCCTCCACTGGGCACACCGGTCATCAGTAACAAAGGGCGCTTAGATTTGAGCTGTTCCTTGGGGCGCTCTGGAAGCGTGTGTCTGCGTGTGGCAGGGACCAGGAGCCTGTGGGTTTGGTAAGGCAATGGACGGAAAACCAAAGGGGGTTGTACAAACACACCACTGTGCAAACTCAACAGTAAAATAATTAGCAGTTGGTCTCTGGGGTTTAAACTACATGACACATTTTCCTTTCTATTAATAAGAACAAACTTTACATATTTGCTACTCAAAGACACAAAAAAATTACTGATATTTTTTAACACTCAAAGTTAATGCAAGAGACACCGTGGGAGCTCCACCAAAATTAACTAAGTCTATTAGCTTCTTCTTTCACTCTAAGGTCACTTTGTGCTGTTGAGTGCTCAGCAGCAAAACCGGGGTCTCCAGAGAAGTCTTGTAGAAAGAAGGTGGCCTTGCCAGCCCTCAAGCCTGACAGTGTGAGACAGTTCTGTGCTGGTGTGACACCAAGGCAGTGAGCAGGAGATGAAAAGTACAAGCACACAGTCAGCAAGCAATGTATTACACTCCTTCTAGAACTTCTAGAACTTCTAGAACAGAACTGAACCAACACTCACTGGAGGTTTTAAAATCTGATGGAAACCTTACCCAAATAATTTTTTCTCAAAAACTCACAAGACCCTGAAAGTCATTCTGGGCACTAGAGTTGCAAAGTCTTGGAGGGTTTCCGTTTCAAAGACAGTTTCGATTTTAAGAAAAATCCTCTGTTGTGACCAAACAAACCCAGGGTCCTGGCGGCTCCTCACAGGACCCTCTAAACCCCCTCCCTGCTGCTGAGCCGGACTCACCCATCGGAGCCTGGCCTGGAAGGGGTGCTGTCCGATGACAGGGAAGACACGGAGGCCACCGACAGAGGCCGGGATGAAGATGGCATCGTGAAGGATCGGACCATGGACCGGGGACGGCTGCCTCTTCTGTCATCCAGACTTGAGGGCTGACAGTAAGAGAGAGAGAGAGAGAGAGAGAGAGAGGCTTGTTTGATGTTCTTGTGCCAAAAGATTTCTGGCCCGAAAATGGTCAGAACCTTGGGACCAAGTGGTCTTAGCAGCCTAGATTCTAGACCAAAAGTGTCCACACTTCTATGAGCAGTGCATATTCTTGTTCAGAGTTAAAGATGAAAATGATGATTATTTCGGGGTTTTTTGAAATCTTACCTGATCTTGTGAAAAATACCCTAACCTTCCTGTTTTTCTAACATTTTAAGTGCAGTTTTCTTTGCCAACACCACAATGCATCAGCCTGTTCCAAAGCGAACACAGAATGTAGTGAGCAGAAAATTTATAGAGTAGCATCTAGATTGAAGAAACTGCAAGATCATTAGATGAACTTTGTACCTCTCTGCATGTCAATAAACCATGCAGATCACCAAAATACATGGATGTGTCTGACCGAATTTCTCTAGAATGAAATAAGATGTTCCTGCTGCTTAGTTAAAGATGGATTTGCTCCCCTGCCAGTGACTGGTACGGGGGGCAGATGAAGCCACCGCTGGAGCTGCTCAAGCTCCTCCTCCCAGCCAGGCCATGAACTACAGATGCATTCTGGAGAAAAACAGTCTCTGGATGGAGCTTTCCAACCTCTCTTTGAAACGGGATTTATATCACCCAAACACGAGTCACGGAAATATAGCTCGTGTCAATACCTGATTACCTAGAAAATGCTAGTGTACCTATGCCCCAAGAACAGCTGCCGCAGGGGCTCCTTCCTTGATCCTGAGGATGGAGGGCACTTCCTCTCCGGGTGGCTTTGACCTCCCCACCTTCCAGCCCCACACCAGCGAAGATGGCACCTCGGGCAGTCACCTGTAGAAGACGTGCTTGGGACCACGGCTGATTACACACCGAACACAACTTCTGCATCTGAAAAGTGGGCCTGTGTCTTCAACAGGTGTTTTGCACATGAAATATGACTTGATCTGCTCTGCTCTCTTTAGGAGTAAAAGGTTCACAACGACAAAAGCACAGTTTTAAAGCAGGAGTTGGTAAACTTCTTCTGTGGACGGCCCGATAATAAGGATCTTAGGCTCTCCGTCCCCCTGCTCAGCTTGGCCACCGTAGCATGAAAACAGCCAGAGATGATACAGAGATGTGTGAACAGGGATGTATTCTAATAAAACCCCATTTACAAGAAGGGCAGTGGGCCACAGTTTGCCAACCACCAGTGCAAAGCCACGTGGCGCTGGAATCTGCCCGCACAGAGGGGAGGTCTTGGGTTTGGCACCAAGGATGGAGCCATTGCACACCCCCAAGGAGACGTCCATTGTCACTAACTGGCCTTTACCTATGAGGAAACTTAAGTACAAATTAGTTCAAATTGTGGACATGTTTCCTGTACAAAATCTAGCAACTCAAAGTCTACAGAATGCTCTTCTCAGCCTTTCCGAGACACATGTCAACGCAGCCCAAGGCCTGGCTCTCTGACGCGTGGCTCCCCCAACCCCCAGCGTCTCGGCTGCGCCCCGGGACTGTCCGGTGTCCCACTGCTCCTGACGCAGCTCCAGGCCCGCCTGACCACCTCAGCCGCCACCCCGCTCGGCCAGCGCTCCTCTCTGGCATCTCTGTGGGATTCGACCCTCTTCACGCTTTGAATGAGCCCTGCCGGCCGCCTCTGCCTCGCGCAGCCCACACCATCCCCTGCCATTTCCTCCAGAGCAGTAGCCTCTGAGGGCGGCTCACGGGGGGCATCTGGGCACCCGCATACCACCCATGCAGAGCTGCCTTCCCACCTCTCCCCTGCAACAGCCTCGGGCTTCACTCCTACCTATCCTTTCTGGACTGGGGTTGAGGGTGGGGGAGAGCAGAAGGGCAGAGAGCCGGCGAGGTCAGGCTCAGGTGATTTCTGTGGCTGGGAGGATGCTGCCTCCACAGCCCGTCATCTTCTAGGCACAGGGAAACTCGCATTCAAGGAAACGCAGTGGAGCATACAGAGAGGAAATGTGACCCGTCCGGCATCCGGGTGCTGTGAGCCCCACTCCTCGCCTGACGGTTTCCGCTTTTCCGGTGAAATGATGCTCACAGCTATGCGAGCAATGCAAGTGTTGAGTGCGCAGGGAAGGCGGGGGAGCCAGTCGTGGACCAGGAGGTGGAGATGGCCAGCGAGAGCCACCTCACTCCAGCTCTTGGGAAGGCCCAGAAGACCCTTGAACATCCTACCTCTGACCACAAAGGGCCGGGGATGTCCCACAAGAGGCAAACTGGAGTCTTGGGCAGATGTACCAGTATGGACTGGAAAGAACAAAGGGAAGGGGGATGGCAGGAGCAGGGCTCTGGCCAAGGAGGGACAGAAGCCACTCTTGGGTCCCCCACTTGCAGGTCACCCACTGGGTGTGGCCATGGGCCCCACTGGGCCATTTGTCTCACAATTCCTTCTTGACTGAGCAGAGCCTCTAAAAATTGAAGAATTGGGACTTTTTTTTTTCATCTGAAGCAATGTGAGTTTCTCCCAGCCATGACAGGTGTAGCTCCAGCGTCAGGAGAACACGAGTAAACCAATGTCCCCGTGTCCCAACACCAGGGCTGGCAGGGGTGGGGGTGGGGCAGTTAGAACTAGGCTAGAATTTTGGCTCTGGTACCGACGATGGGACCTCGCATCACACATGGAACCACTCTGAGCCTCAGCTTCCTCCAGAGCACACAGGGAATAATCATCCCACGTCGAGAGGCTGGAGTGAGGATGAAATGGGCAGCTGGAGCCCACTGGCCTTGGCACACTCTGAAGGTAGCTTCCGTTGTCCTCGCTGTTGTCGTTATTATGGCCTGAAGCAAACACTCGTTTTGGCTCTCTTACCAGAAGCGAGCCCTGCCCTGCTCAAAAGCTCTCACACGTTTGGTGTCCTTGTCTTCCAGCTGAGCCCAAATGCCTCCCCTTGACCCCCACACGTGCCTACTGCCTGTGGGGTGGGGTGGGCAGGGCTGAATTTAATCGCGGCGACCAGTGTTTTATGGGGTAGGGTGAGAAGCAGGTATGTTTCTTTTCTGGAAGACACAGCAGGTGCTCATGGCCTCTTCCTCAGGGACCCCAGCGTCTGCGCTCCTCAATCCCTATGCATCTGGAGAAGCTGGGCTGTGAGCTTTCGTCCAGGGAGCGGTGGCCCCCTAGAGTCCCAGCACAGGCAAGGTGAGGGCCAGTGGGGAGGGAGCAGGGGTCTGGAGGAGCCGCCTGTGGATTAAGAAGTCAGAGGGTGTCCAAGTCTTCTGTTTCTATCTATGGCTTTGGCTGGATCAGAAAAATTGACAAAATGGTTTATGTCTTTCCTATGGGTTTTTATTTTTAAATCCATTTTTTTTTTAAACAGGATAATACTATATTGCCTTTCCAAGTTTCTCAGATGCTTGCAAGTTTTCAGAGTAGATAAGACAGGAAAGGCTCATACCAGACTGCTTTTTATTGTCGCTTTTCTCAGAGCATGACAGGGGCATCTGCCTCTCTCTCTGTCTGCTCAAAGGAGGCCAGCTGCAGAGCCTGCCGCTCGGGTCCCAGGATGGAGGACTGAGGAAGGCAGCTCCAGCAAAGAAAGCATCCAAGGGGAGGAAATGCACCCTTGATTCTATTCCTTGATCCCAATAACCCTGACCAGCCCCCTAGCTGGGCTTAGGTGCGGTGCTGCCCAGGCTCCCCCTACAGAGAGGTGGGCAGTTTGGTGGGCATGACGTGTCTCAGGATGTGGTGGACACCGCTCATCTCTGGCCAAGGATGCTGCGTCGGAACAGGGGAAACCCGTCCTGGAGGAGGGGGACACCCCCGCCCCCTACGCAACAGGCCTGCCTCCTGCCCTGGCTTTCCTTCTCCCCTGGGCCCAGCAGCAAGCCCGCACAGACGTAATGAATCCCAGCAGAGAACGGCATGGGAAGGCTGTGTGGTGAGCCAGACAGGTTTCTGTCATTTTGAAATATAAATTATGTGAGTGGTAAAAGAGGAAGCCTTTCACTTTTCGGTACAAAAACTCTAAGATCTCACACCTGTTTGTTTCTTAGAAAGACTTAAGATTGGTGTAACTCTTGGGAAGAGACTCATGACGACACACCCTGAAATTCTTGCCACTCGACTCTGACTGCAGTGAGTCGCAAGCCCCGAAGCAATCAAGCACTCCTCAAGGGTTCTGCCCGGCACGAGGGGTCCTCCAGTGTAGCCGGCAGGAGGGCACCCCGGTCCCCAAGCCTGTTCCCCGTGAGCAGCTCCCGCTGGGTTGGCCGCCCTGGGTCCCCACGCACTGAGTTTTCAGACCAGAGCCCGGAGGTTGCGTTCTCTTGGCTTTGTCAGGTTCACACCTGCTGGGGATGCACTGGTGCACCACAGCCCGCCAGAGCAGACAAGGGTGGGCAGGTTGGGTCAGCATGGAGTGGAATCAGAGCCAAAGTAGCTCCTTTCTGGGGGGACTCTCAGTCTCTTACAAGAGAAGGAAAAGCTCTGCCATGTAAATTAAGAGTAGTGGCTAAAAGCACAGACTGGGAGGCAGACCAGTGGGCTTCAAACTCCCATCGGCAGCCAGAGCGGCCACTGCTAGAGTGTGACCTTGCATCCCCTTTTCCCCATCTGTAAAATGAGGATGACCACAGTGCCTCCTTCATAGTGTTACATGGATGAAGCCAGCTCTTATTTGCAAAACACTTGGAAAGGTCCCTGGCATATGGTAAGCACTAAATTAGTGTTTGCTAAGTGAGCTAAATGTGTGAAAAAAAGAAGTGAGTTCAACAGGAAGAGCAACAGAGAACTGTAGAGAATGGGAGACAGATGGAACTGGGCCGAAAAAGGACCCCAAACGGTGCCCTACATTGGACACCTGGTTCCTCAGGAAGGAGAGAAAAGTGTCGTGCGATGTGAGAAGCAGAACACCTTCTACAGCACGCCTTTTGTTTGCAGGAAGGTGGAAACCTTGTGCGCCCTCACCCCCTTCAGGCCAAGGGCTGGGATTCTAGATCGGAAGCCTCGCCGTCTCTTTTTGTCACACTGTTGCTTCCCTCCAAACAACAGGGAAAGGGGGCCTTGAGTCATCTGCGGCGCCCGACGTCTCCAGAGTCCAGGGACAGTCAAGGTTAGGACCCACCAAGGCTCCCAGAAACCACAAGGCTCACACTGCCAGATACTTTGCCTCATTACATATCACAAGCCACACTTTTATCATGATCTTGATCCCAGCCCCCCACTCAGAAACTTCCACAAACTCTTGGGCAAAAGCCCAGTTCTACCCTTCATCCAGAGCAAAGCCTCCTGCCCCACAGCACGCCAATCCAGGCTCTTGGAGGCTAGGCACCTTTCCGGCTTTCTCCTACGAGTTCTCTTCTGTCCAAGACATGTCTATGTCTACACGGCCTCCGGCCTCCCTGCCTTTGCTGGATGAACCCTTTCTCCCCGCCTCCTCCTCGACTGTCTCTAGCTTACCTTTCTTGGCCCAGGCCAATGACCACTCCTTTAAGACGTAAGTCTTTGCTACCAGTTTCAGATCTCAGTAAACCATAGCAACTCTCTCCAGTGACTTTGACTTTGGACCGGACTTAGGTTCCAGCTCTGCCTTAGGACATCATGAGTTCTGTTGCCCTGTGTGTTACCTAACCCTCTGTATGTGGTGTATGGCTGGAGGTGTGCCCTCACGGCCAGGCGAAATTGAGTCCCATGGGCCTCTGGGTGGTTTTTCTGTTGCCCCACCACATTAAGGATAGATTGTGTTCACAGCAGGTAAGCAGGGCGTTTGGTGATCAAGCAAACTCACGAACGCTTACTCACCCTGATATTTCCATTGAAAGGAGCTTGCTGGCTTACTGACAGATGGACTTCCGAGGGGGCTGAGGTCCTTCAAATCCCACTTCCCGTAGGTGTCACATATACATCTTACTCACCCTGGCTGTGAGCCCGTCACAGTTGGACAATTGAACACAAAGACACCCACCTCCCCTTCTGCAAGGCTACCCACTTACCATGGTTCGGACGCCATATTGCTTTTCCACTTTTTCCTTTAGCTGTTTGAAACAGGCTTCCATTCTCTCATGAAATGGCCTCAGTGCTTCTGTGACTTTGTCTCCATGAATCCTGATCCCTTCAGCCAAAAACGGAATCTGAAAAATGTAGCAGTCAACACTCCTTATTTCCTGGTTAATGGTCTAGAGAGAGCCACGCACACCAGGCAGAAAGTGGCACTGTGTGCAAAATCCAACTGCTTTGTTTCCAAATCAAACCGTGAATCAAAGTCATCAGCAGGCACATTACCCCCGAAGACCAAAATGTTCAAATTAAAATCATTTGTGTTTTAAATTGGACACGTTTAGTGCAGTGCTCAGCACACAACGGCCACTCAGTGACTTGCCTGACTCCCATTGGCCGACCAATCCCAGAATAGACTCATCTGTGCTTTCCTCGTGAATTTGGGAAAAACTGCAGTTTGAATCTGTTTAGCTGTAACTTGATCTATTAGCAAAGGGTCGTGTCACAGTGCAAAGATTTTTTTTTTAGCCCAGAATATTGCCTTTATAGGCAACTGAGAACCCTATTCTAAAACTTAAAAATCTAATTATGTGTGATCTACAGTCCTGAAGGATCTTCTTATTTAGAAAGGAAAACCAAATTTATTCTTCCTTAAAACTAAAAATAATCATTTCTCTGCCAACACTGCTGTCACAAAATATCCATGCCAACACTTCACTTCGAAGCGCGGAGATGGAGCTGACCTTTAAAAGCGTTGCAGGGAGACATTTTCATTCCCCAGCCCCAGAGACCCTCTAGAATCACTGCTGTTGGGGGGTGGAGGGGGTTCCAAGGAGGGCTTTCTTTCCCCAGCTTCTGCTTTCCCCCAGAGCTCGGACCCAGAGTTAGACATTCTTCAATGCAATCAAGCTAAGAGGCTTCCTCTTAATAATTTATAATTAAATCAAAATACTGATTAAAAACAGATTTCCCTAATATGACAGAACACCAACCTAAATGAGCAGATTTATTAGGAAGCAGGATAATAAGTACACAATTGAATTTCATGTGAACAAATTCGAGAAATCTTACCAAGATGAATCAATGCATAAAATGTATTTGGTTGCCATTTAGAGCACGCAGCTGTTGCCTCTTGTGGTCTCCAGGGAAAGACGAAAGAAGTGAGGGCTCCCATGTCACAGCCCACCCAGCAGCCCACCCAGCCTGCCCTTGGGCTGCACGGGCACAAAGCTTGTTTCGCTGACAGCTGGGCCTACCCCCAAGGTTTGGGCCTGGCATCCCTTTCTGGCCAGTTACTGCCTAAAGGACAGTGTGCATGCAGGTGAGCCTTCACAATGGATGAGATGTTTTAATATTCCGTATGAATTACTCTTGCAGATGGCAGCGTCCCCAGAGCTAGCCGCAGTGTGGTCAGGTTCAACAGTAGAAATGCTCACATTAATCCTTCTGCTTCCTGAGTTCTGCCCTGGGGCACGGCACAGGCAGGCTGGGGACAACTTTTGGTGGGATGGTAAACGTGTTGGATCTATTTGGTATGGAGGCGAGTGTGGGGGTGGTGTCTCAAGGCTGAGACACAGCCACTTGAGATCTTGCAAGCATTTTTCTGTAGAATGGACCTTTTTTCAAATATACAAAATGCAGTCTAAAGGTCTCTCCTTTTTTTTGTTGGTTTGATTAAAAGCCTTAATTGGCCAGATTCTTTGACCTCAAAGAAGCTACTTGCTGGACTAAAGACCATTTGGTTTAAGTCCCTGGGGCTGCGTGAACTGCAATTTGGCAGGCGAACTTTAGGGGGTATGAGAATTGACCACTTCAACAGGTCCCTGACATTGTCAGATACAACCTTCTTCTAGGATGGGATCTGGCCCCTGTTCTACGTCTGACTGGGGCTGAGCCACAGCTCTGCATGAAAAGATGCTCTGTGTAAACACTCCAACATACTGGGTGCTTAACATACAAACATGAGCCACGGAATGAGGCCTGAAGTGATCTTTGGGGACCCTGTGGTTCAGTGGGTTCCAACCTGGAGGAGCATCAGAATCTCCCAGGCAGGTTCCTGAACCCCACCCTGGAGCCCTGATTTGCTCTGGGGTAGATCCCAGGAATCTGCATTTCTTAAAAGTTGCCCAGAGCAAGGAGAGGGGAGAGGACATCCCCAAAGTCACACTTTGGGTTGTTCAAAACGAGCACGCAGCCTGCTATCCAAAGACGCCCCCCTGAACAGCGGTGATGCATGTGAAGTTCGCTCCTGTGGGTCCCCTGCACAAATTCATGGGCTACCAGCAGCACAGAACATTAGGAGGCACTGCTCAGCACTCTAGGAGCACCACCCCTGGGGACAACGGTCACACATGCATCAGGTGGGGATGACGAGTGAGTTTTGTCTTTTATCCTTGTGCATTTCAAAAGAGACATATGCACACAACACTGCAGTGTGGTAGGAGTCTGTACAGATTCATCTTTTGGGCATTGGTGGGGATGCTCAATAAAATAGCTGCATTTGGGGAAGGATGGAGCTGTGCCTTTGAGGAAGGGGCTGGAGCTCAGTCTGACCTGGTATCTGCTGTAAAATTAGAGGGGGCCCCCACGTGCCTGCAGCCACGGGCTCCCAGCTGGGAGGAGCAGGTCAGCACCGTCCTGGTTTGGGGATGGCAAGAGCAGAGCCCAGACCTGCCTGGGACTTAACAACCCGCCTTCACAAACAATTTCAGCATCGAGATGTGCTTATTGCATATCAGTGATGGAAACTCTGCCAACAAGTCCTTGGGATTCCCTAGAGGAAACCTCACTCTGCCCTGATGCAGTTTCCAGAAAAAACCAAACCAAACAAACTAACAAACGAAAACAGAAGACAGCATCCTGATAACCCCAAACTTCTTATTTTTAATGACCATATGACTCAATCACTGATACTAAAATATGGGTTTGCAAACATTTGCAAATGAAAGTGAAATCACAGGTAACGTTTTGAATATGTATTTTTCATCACTCTTTGATTTAATGAAGTTGCTAGAAAATGGATTCTCTCTTTCAGCTTTCCTGTGAGCTGCTTTAAAATTCATCCTTTAATATCGTTATTAGGGGTGATGACATAGTGCTGACATAAAGTTCTCTCTGGGGAACAAATTATTTTCCTCTGTAGGACTTGAAACTCTTAAAATCCAATTTGCTTTAAAAGCTTACCAGAAAAAAAAAAATCAATACAACTTTTGCAGACCAAACTAGTTTTTCTGTGGCAATGATTTTATAGCCTTCAATGGAGTTGGAATTTTGTACCCTTTGGTTTCTACATCTAAAATGGAATCATTCAGACTTTTAAACTCTCTCTCTTTTTGGAAACAGAGGGAGACGGTCTACATGAGGCTTCCATTCCATGCGGAGAACCGTCCTTGGCCACTGGGCCAGCCCCCAGGGTTTGTTATCACAGAATAATTCTAATGCAAACAGATGTCTAGAGATTTGTGGCCAAGTCACACCCAGGAGGATGGCGATTGTAAAAAAACCAAAGCAAAACAAAACCAGAAACTGACAAGTGTTGACAAGGAGGTGGAGGATGTGGCTCCTCAAAAGATTAAAAAATAGAATTACCGTTTGATCCAGAAATCCCACTTCTGGGAATACACCCAAAAGAACTGAAAGCAGGAAAATGAACAGACACGTGTGCGGCCATGTTCGCAGACAAGCAGTGGAAAGAACATAAGTGTCCACAGATGGATGAATGGACAAACAAAGTGTGGTCCATTCACACAATGGAATATTATTTAGCCCAACAAGGAAGGAAATTCTGACTCAGGCTACAACACGGATGAACCCTGAAGACACTGTACTCAGTGAACTAAACCAGTCACAAAAGCCATATGACTTTACAGGATGACTACTTATGTGAAGTACCCGGAACGATCAAGTTCATAGAGACAGACGGTGGAATGGTGGTTTCCAAGGGTGGGGAGAACGGAGAGTTAGTGCAGAGATTTTTGGCAAGATGGAAAAGTTCTGGAGATGCATGGAGGGGATGGTCGCACAACAGTGTGAACGTGCTTAATGCCCTGGATCTGTACTCCAAATTGGTTAAGATGTTACATTTTATGTTATGTCTATCTTAGTACCATGAAATATACATAGATTGGAAGTGGGCTTGAAACCAAAGTTCGGCCCCACTCCACCCTACGAGGTCACACTGGTGTCAACGTGCTGATAATGGAGAAGCCACTGAGGTGAGCCTCTGGGAAGGCCAGGGTCAAAGTGTCTCTTCAGAGGAACAGCCTCACCTACGTCAGGGACCCAAGTGGCAGCCTGGGACCGCCTGGCTCAGCGGAATGGCCTGGGGTACACTGCCGCCATGCACAGGGTGATCCCGGCCTCCACTTCCTCAGCTCTCTGTGGCCAGCCTGCTGTGTGGGGATTAGATTAGACAGCACCCTCGTCACCTCCCACACGAGAAAACAAAGCCCGAGACAGTGAGCTGTCCGCATTACAGAGCAGGTTAGGCAGAGCTCCAGGAGAACCAGGTCTTGATGTCCCCCCACCACCAGGCTCACAGAGGCTCTAAGACGCAGACCATGTGAACTAAACAAGTCACTTCCAACTGGACACAAGATGCCCTCCGGACCAGGTCCTTCTAACACCACGTCCCACTAAGGTAAGACTCAGCAGCCTCAGGAACACAAGTACGGAAGCACCGTAATACACAGAATTACAGCTGGGAAAACACAGATGTGGGTGCCCCCAACCCTGGCCACCACCAGGGAGAACGCGGGGGGGCGGCGCTCTGCAGTGGCCCACCGACATCTCCCACATGGACGGCACTGACGTGAGCGCCTTTCCCACGACAGGCTGGAGCCAGGCTCCCGAAGACATCACAGTTCTCACCTTGCCTCTGAGATTCTGTCAGTACCAGACAGAGATCTGCCGGCAGAGACAGACCGGGCTCGTTGGCAAGAGAGGACGTTCTGTGTGTGCAACTTCATGACCACAGCCAAGGAGCTGAGTTAATCACGGCAGTGGGGGTGGTTCATCTGGGGACACACATGGCTACATGCACTGTGGCGGATGTCCCAGGCCCCCATGCTGGCCGGCATGTGTGCAGAGATGGCCCAGGTGGACGCGGGTCTAGCCCTAGATGTGGGTCTAGCCTCGGATGTGGGTCTAGCCTCCCTGCTCCAGCCCTGCAAGGCTGCCATCACACACTTACCTGCCATGCAATGAGGTCCTTGAGCTTCTCAATCTTTTCATGGGCCTCTGGGTGCTCCTGCAAGTACCGCTCTGTAAAGAAGGCCTGGTGGAGACAGGAAGGGCCACTCAGTACACTGCTTCCCCAGCACCATTTCTGCACACTGACTGTGCACCAGACCCGGGGATAGAGCCATGTGTAAAACAGACCCACTGCTAGGGGATGGACCCTCCCCAGCACTCAGGGCTAAAGGTCTGGTTAGCTCAAACACAACAGACGGAGTGGATGGGCAGCCAGGAGGGGCATTTAGGGTGGCACCTCTGTCCTTGGAATCCAGCAAGACCACAGCTGACCTGGATGGCTCAGTCCTCTGGGTGGCAGCTCCCTGGGGGCTCACATGCCTTGACTCCCACCCTGCACCCCGCCCCGGGCTGGTCCTACACCTAAAGGCGGCCTACAACAGAGAGCTATCTCTCGGTCCAGGGCAATGACTCCTTGTGGCCTGCTCTCCACCTCAGCTCTTACCCTGTCTGGACAGGGGCTCAGCAAGCTTTCTGTGAAGGGCTTCGGTGCTGCCATTGTTCTATCATTGTTCTAAAACAGCCACAGACACTAAGTAATAAATGGCCGCGGCCGAGTTCCAACCTTGATATCAAAAAGAGAGAGCAGACCATAGTGCAGACCCCTGGTCTAAACCACACCCACGTCCTTCCGCTTCTGCCCTTTCCCACTGAGAGATTTTCCGGGGAGACCAGCTGGCCTGCTCCCCGGAAATGCTACCCACCATGCCTACCTATCCCAAATGTTCTAATTCTTTTGTCTTTCACTACAACTGTATCTCTTGGCCTTTCATGATCCCAGGACTCGAGAGCCACCTAAGGGCAGCGCTGCAGAGCTCCGTCAGCCCAACCTGCGGGGACGATGCCCAGGGGAGCCATGCCTGGGGTCGGGCCTTGACCTTCTGCAGCTGGCAGGGGCCACCTCTAGGAGGTCCCAGCCTTGGCTCAGTCCCAGCTGAGATCGGCCAGTGAGACCAGTGTAGTTTCTGGGCTGGAACATACATGTCTGGAGACAGTCTGTCCTAGGACAGGGCAGTACCACTGGCATGTCACGTGCCTTCTCATAATTCACAAAGCCTCCCATGACGGCAGGGTCCACAATGCCATTCAGGAGCATAGAGAGGGGGTTGATGGGGAGGCTGGGGTCGTCCAGGTGCTGCTGTACCATGCTGTTCATCTTGTCATTGGTCAGCTGCATGGTCTCGATGGCGTTCTCCAGGGGGCTGATCTCCACCTGCGGGGAAGGAAGGAGATGTGACTCCAGGTCATCTGCTGCATCCACTGCGCCTGGGTCCTCTGCTCATCGTCTGGCCCATGGGACCTTGCCAGAAGAGGAGCACTTCCAAGTGGGGCCAGGCTTCCTATTCCTCCAATGCACCTTTCTTCCCAGGGGGGGTTTTCGGGGGTGTCTCTTACCACCCAAACAAGAGCAGCTGGTATTTTAGTATCATTGTGTATTTCCAATAGGTGTGGCCCTCACATGCAAATTCCAAAGGGGTAACACAAGGCTGTCTGGCTCTGAGAGGTATGTGTGTGTATGTGTGTGCACGCGCCCATGTGTGCCTACACACGCGTGCACACGTGTATGTGTGTGCATGCATACACATGTGGTCCGCTTCGTTTAAACTGGGTAAGATTTTGGATGCCTAGACGGCTTAGTTGGTTAAGCGTTTGCCTTCGGCTCAGGTGAGGATCCCGAGATCCTGGCATCCAGTCCCGCATGGGGTTCCCTGCTCAGTGGGGAGCCTGCTTCTCCCTCTCCCTCTCCCTCTGCCATTCCCCCTACCCCCACCCCACTTGTGCTCTCTGGCTCTATCTCTCTGTCAAATATATAAAATCTAAAAAAAAAAAAAAAAAAAAAAAAATGGGCAAGATTTTAAGGAGCAATCCATCACGGTCCCTGAGGCTGGAGGCCTGGGCACTTTGTAAGACCGCTGTACCTGCTTCGTCAGGGAAGGGCCCTCCTCCCCACATGAGACCACACTCTCTCTCATGAAGGAAGAGCTCCACCACCCCGGGGAGAGCATGTCACCGCTGCCAATGGTACCTTTAAGACCTCATCAGAAGGGCCGCCACTGGTCAGCCGGACCTTCAGTGCAGGAGGCAGGGCACTGCCACCCATCCTGCAACTGCCCTCCTTTTTCTGGGGCCCCAAAGCTCCCTGCAAGGCCCAGCCGGGCACACCTCTCTGGCTCAGCCCTAAGGTGCCACGAAAACATGGCTGGGTTTAAAACAATAGCAACCCCTTCCCACCAGGCCTCACTCTGATAGATGCTTGGCTGGGCCACAAAGCCACGTCCAGGGGTCATCTCAACACATGATCCTTTCCGTCCTCCCAAAAGAGGTGGCAGGGGTCCCTACCCGTGCCTGGGAACCCCAGGGTGTCTGTAGTAAGGGACAAAGCAGAGCAGCCTGCTTTTGTCCTGCTGCAGCCTCTGGGGGTTGTCTGCCGGGCAAAGGGGAGCAGGGGAAGCAGGGACTTGAGAACGGACAACTCTGCTCAGGGCTGGCCCCAGGTTCTAGAGCGACGCTTGGAGTCACTGTGGGGGAAGCCACCTGCTCCGCCTGGCCCCTGGTTGGCCCCACGCCCGATCAGCATGTACTGCTCGACTGCTGCTCCCACCTGGTCCCACGAGGTCCCTGGAGGGCCCAGAGCCTGGAGTGCAGCATACCAGGCACACACCTACACCAAATCCACACTCCAGAGCAGTATTCCATTTTAACTGACTGCTAACTCCCTGCTGCTGATCCCATCTGCCTCAAGAAAGGAGAGTTTCCTCTTTTCATCCAATAAGAGGGCTGGCTGCCACCCCTGGGGCATCCCATGGCGGCCTGTCCCGGGAGGCGCGCACAAGGGGAGGGGTGTCGAGAGCAGCCCTCGGTTTCGCGCCCTGGGATTATTCGGCTTCCAGCCTCTTAGTTTGTTACAAATGGCAAACAGTGCCGGTGGCAGAACCACATCTTCACAGAAAGTCAGGGCTCACCCCTCTCCACCTCTGAGCTCTTAAGCTACTTCCTCTCGAAATCTGGCTGGCTCATGAAATCCCGGATTACTGAGGGCTTTGGGCAGAGGCTCATTAGGAAGATTAGTGCCTGTTTACTCGAAGTCCCCCCACTCTACCCTCTCACACACGTACATCCATCACCAGTTCTAAATGGTGCGAGCAAAGGCTTGCGTTTCTGCCACCTGCCACGTACCTTCGGAGCCCTCCATCCATCGGGGCTGCCTGGGTGCTAGGGGGGCACGGAGCAGGCGCTCCCAGAGCAGAGAACGCAAGTGCCCAAGGCAGGGACAGGCACAGAGACCCAGGGCTTCAGAGAAGCAGGAGGGGGCACCTGGGATGGGGGGAACAAATGTGGCCCCGAGCTCAGGTGGGCATGGACGACAGACAACAGAGGAAACAGGGCTGGGAAGACAGGTTCCAGGCAGGTTCAGGAACCAAATCAGGAGTTTCCAAGGGGACTCACTGTAAACTAAATGGGAGGCACCACCCCTCTGGATAAGATCCTGCTGGCTGAACACAAAAGGCATTGAGACACACGAATCAACATACATATTTCAATCAGATCTCTTTATACCACTCCCTGATACTTCTGTGTATTCAGTAAGAATCTGCCGCCCAACTCTGGTTCACGTAGATGAAACTGTCCCATAGCTCACCACTGAGGCAAAGCAAAGTTTAGCTAATGAGATGCGAGTCATTATTTCTTTAAAAAAGTGCCAGTGAAGGGTATATTCTCAAGCTATTTTTACTTGAAATGAGCAAGTACTATTAATCAAGTTGTTTGTCATGTAAATGGCAATAAAAGCATCAGGAAGAAAGATCTTAAAAAGTGTATGTAAATTGGAACTTGTCTTAAACTTTTCATTTAGTTAACAGAAAGAGCTTTCAAAAGAGCACAGCGATGACTAGATTTAAATATTTTGTGAGAAGAAAGGAAATCTTAATTCTGGTCTTCTTGTCAGCCAGCTCTGGTTGTGATTACACAGCATTTCTACGACAATATTCGTGGACCGGGAGAGTCGATGCCCCAGGGAACACGCAGGGTGATGATGGGTTAAGTCTTGTCTGACCTGGGGTCCCAGTGTGCGCGCCGCACCCTGTAACAGAGGGGAAAACACAATCCCTTCTTGGGGCAGGGGGATCCTTACCATGAAAACAGATTTGACCTCAAACCACCTTAAAATCCCAGGTAATTTGTACGCCGTGGTGTATATGGTTCTCTCGATCCACATGTTCTGCAAAGGGAAGACACACATGGTATTCGTCAGAAGGATGTCAGCAGGTGGACAGCTTCTGCCCTAATGGGGACTGGCCACTCTCTGCGAGGTGGGTCCTCCAGGAGGACGGGTCTCCCTGGGAGGAGTTGCATGTGGCCCCTTTCGTGTGCCGTGCCTTGTATGCCATGCTCTGCCTGTGAGTCAGACGGTCACACGAGGCACAGCAGTGTCCCCTGCTTTTGCTGGCCAATGATGCCAGTCTCCCTGGCATGGGGCAAAGAAAGTACAACAGGAGAGTCAGGGAGAATTCCATACGTCAAAACCAGGGAAGTTCCCTCTGAGCAGAAAGATTTTTGAAAAGGCTCCAAGGAGTTCTCTACTGGCCTGACTTTGGGTTCAACAGAAACCCAAAGGTGGAAAGGCATTAAGGAAAACCGGGTTTCCTGTAAAGTGACCGCTCACATTCTGATATGGATCAGTCAGTATTTTAGGCTTCACTTTGTTTCTTGCACAACTGATCTCTCTTCCTATTAGAAAATAAAGATGTGGAAAAATCACCCACCACCCAGAGATGGTAACTTAAACATTTCAGTATCTGTTGTTCAAGACTTCTTACTAAGCATTAAAAAGCATGTAGATGCATATTTTCAATGAAATACCATTTTATAATCCATATTCTTCATAGAACAGAACATTAGGTGTGGCGGGAAACTGCTTCACGCCAATGAGCGTCACCCCTCTGCGCCTCTCTCAGGCTGTGTGGAAGCCCGTGGCGAGCTAACAAGCAGGGACTCTTCGCCCACCTGTTCCTGCCCAGTGTCTGCTTCCGGCCACCCTCTCCCTGTCCTGGGTCATCCTGGGCCGTGCAGGTGTGTTGGGAGTGGTCCGGGCACAGTGGACCGTCAGCAATTCCAGGGAGCCGCACTGGATCTTAGAGAAGCATCCCTCCCCCACCTCTGAGGCTCCAGAGGGGAGAAGGAAGGGGACCCGGCTGAGGCCTCCTGTCTCCCCAGCTAGAGCTTTTTGCCCCAGGAGGAAGCTCCCCCAGGGGCTTGCCAGAGAAAACAGCAGTGTACCCTTTCAGAGCATTGCGACTGCCACCCGCAGGGTCTCCCCAGAGGCCAACACGGCCCGAGCAGGGGCCCTGGGCTCCACCGAGGGCTTTCTGGACAACCAGCGCTGGCTGACTCAGTCAGGCACTATCTCTCTGTCTCCTTCCTCCTCAGCTGCTCTTGGGCCCCAGGGCTTCACCCCTTGCTGAGCGACCATGCGAAGTGCTCAGCCTGGCAGGGCAGCCTCCCCAGCGTCCCGCCTGCAGAGCCAGGCCACCTGCAACAGGGCCGAGCCCAGCTTCCCATTGCTGCAAAAAGCCCCACGCTTATCTGGAAGCTTTAGGCTTTGTCAGGCATGTGAAGGACTAAATCCCGTGGCTTCTGAAAGCCTCATCCAAGTGCGAGGGCCTAACGGGGCCATTAGGGGATTTCAGGGCCATTTAGAAGAAGCACAGCCTCTGAGGCTTAGTGCAGCCCCAAATGTCAGGGGTCTCAGTTATTCTTAGCTCTGCCCCAAATGGCTGCACCCCCGTCGGCAATTTGCTTGACCTCCTTGCATCTCTTTCTTTATGGTACGAGAATATACAGAGCTGCCGGATGCGAGATGTGTGAGGGAAATTCAAGAACTGCCTATAAATCCCACAGTCCAGAGACGCTATGTAAGTGGTCGTGTTGTTGCCACAAGGGCCCCACAAGAGACCGCTCAGAAAGCCGCCCCCTTAGCACTGGTGTCTTGTCCCCTCCCGCACTATTACAGACAACACTGCTGTGACCAGTTACCAAGTAGGGTAACCTGGGATGCTGGCATTAGCCAAGAAATAGGGTCTTCGTTTTGAGACAAGCAGTGTGGGAAGTGGGAATCACTAGAGTTCCCAGAATACAAGCTCGCCGCAGACACCTAGGTAATGGCTCAGGCAGGAAGGGCCTTCAGCACTGTGACTGGAGACTCTCAGGCCTCGCCTGAGGATCAGAAGACTACAGGAAATGGAGAGCTTCAAGGAGAAGCTGGACAGAAGCACTGTGGCTGGAAGTGCCCCAAACTTCACTCTGGGTCAGGTCACCTTTGACCTTCTGCACCCCCAGACACCTCCCAACTATAGGCAAGGGGATGCAGTCCCCAGCAGAGCTGCTGGTCCTCCTTGGGGGTCCCCGCGGCTAATAGGTCCTGGAAATACGGGCCTATCTAGGGATCCCCAGAGGACATTTGCAGGGCAGAAGGAGGGAGAAATATTAACATTTTTAAAAACTGTGCTTTATTGCAAAGAATTGATTTATTCTTTGCAAATATAAACCATTAAACCAGTTGTATGTATATTTTTTAAAAAGCTGCAAAAACTTCTGTTAATATTTCTATGACTAATGCAGGGGACAACAACGTATGATAACCTTTTTGGTTGGCTGTCACAACTGGGGAGGTGCTACCGGCGTCTAATGGGGAGAGGGTCAGGGATGCTGCTCAATATCCTCTGAAGCATAGGGCGGCTCCATCACAGAGAATTATCCGGCCCGTGACTCCGTGGCGCCCAGGAGCACCTGCTCTGGTGCCTTGAGCCTCAGGGAAATTCAGGAGCTGGATAGTGAGCGTCTGGGTCTCTGCCCTGCTCACCTCTGACTGCTTGTCATCAGCAGAAAGCCCCTGAAGTGCTCGGTCCCTCTGTGTGCCTATCTGTATTAGACACACCAGTAGGGTGCTCAGGGGCCCGGGACCCAGAGGGAGACAACTCAGAGAAGTGAGGAAGGAGGCGAGTATGCCAGGAGGGTAAGAAGCAGGGTCTCAGCACTCGGCCCCTTCTGCTAGCACCTTAAGGCCTTAGCGACATCCCCTATGAGATGTTCGCCCTTTCACTACAGTTGAAGGGGTTAGGATTTGATATTTGGATTTCTGCACACAAGGCACAAAGCCATCTAATATGCCCTGTGGTCGCCTCTGAGGCCAGTTTTCCACAGGTAGCATTGCTGGTGGTAGAAGGAGTTCTTTGGGGGTTTTTGGTTGTTGTTTTTTTTACCGCAAATTCATTGTCTGGGTTTTTCTCTCCTTTGCGGATCGGCCGAGAATATTCAAATCGCTGGACCTCGTTTACCCTGTAAAAACTGTAGAGAGACAGACAAATCGTTAGACACTTAACCCCCAAAGCGGCCGATACGCTTTTAGACGTGGGGTCTGGCCTCCTGATAGGTCCCTGCATCCCTTAAAATATCCCCAACCTTGACCCCGAGCGATAGCTGTGGCTTTCTCTCTCCGCCAGCCTCGGGAGAGAGATGTTGGCAGATGGAAACATTACCTTGAGTTTCTGCCTCTTCCCTGTCCCTGCAAACCCTCAGGGGAGAAGAGATGCTGAGTAAGAGTGAAGCAGGCATGCACAGAGAGAAGGTGAAGCGGAGGAGAGTGGGAACAGGCTTGCGTCCCCCACTCCTGTGTTTACTACTTCAAAATCTTCATTTATTTTATCAGTTTAATTCAGTGATTCAACAATTTATTAAAAGAACCTAATAATTTTTTTATTAAAATTTTTAAAAAATTACGTGTTTATTGTTTTTTTAAAAGACCTTATATCCCTTAGTTTCAGCTCTACAAAAGGCAGAGTCTGTAACCACAAAGGGTGGCACGCACGACAAGTGTGTACTTTCTTTCCCTGGGGAAGGGGTGCGTGGCACGCCTATACCAGAGGCAGACGCATTCCTCCTCAGCACTGAAATGTCGGCCGCCTCCCCATGTCACAGCGAAATCGCTGAGCATCAGCTACAATTCACTATTGGCTTTAATGCCTCTTCCTGAAACAAACTGTTGCAAAACTTGAAACAGGTGCCTTGTGAAAGCAATTGTTCATCAGTAGAGTCCTAGCTGACTTCCCATTACGGCTGATAAAAGGTTAAAGAAAGGAGAGTGAATTTTGAGGAAGAACACAACCCACCAAACTTCAGGATATGAAATAAGCAGATTCTGAGCATTATTAGGCCATGGAACAGGTTAATTTCTTAACCAGAACATGGATCACATAGAAAAGAAAATTCTTCACATCAAAGAAACATCTAAAGCAGATGGTCTCTACAGCATTGCTAGGTCAGGGGCAACTCAATGTAGAGGCATGAACCCTCAAATTCGGACAGCTGACCGGTGAGTCAAAAAATCTGCCTCATAATCCCACGTTATATAATCATGGTGTTACAGGGGTCTAAGAGTTCTCCACCCAAAAAAGCAAATGACCCAATTATTTTTCCTGCCTTACGGCATGCAAACACCCTGGTCCTCCTCCCCAGGCGTGGGGACTCAGAAATGCTGGGTTGGGGCTGGGCTGGAGCCCTGCTGAGAAGCTCTGCAGGGAACGCCCCCCGCCCCAAGCAGGTCACAAGGAGACCAGAGTGCCCCCTCTGTCCTCCCGAGTTTTCCTCGTCACCCCACATCAGGAAAGGAATAGTTCTCGCGCCGTCCGGCAACATACACTAACTTCTTCCTTCACTGTTTTGATGCTGCAAAGAATTTGCTTCCCTTGCTCTTCTAAGTAAACAGAAAGAGCATCTGGAAAGCTAATCAAAGGCTAAAACCCACCCTTTCAAGAGTGTGTGTTGCCTTAGCTCACAGTCCTTCACTGTCCTCACGGTGGGTAGGAGAAATGGGGTGCTTACCTTACAATCTGCTCTGACACAGGCCTGTGAAATTTCGGGGGCAGATCGAGTTTGGGCTTTACGGTGAAGCACTGAATATCTGAGGGCGAAGGGGGTTAAGGATCACCAGGAGGGGTGGACATCAGCCATGACGGGGCCCCCAGGTCCACCCACCCACCCAGGCGCACGGATTGGTGATCGTGTCCCGTTCCATAGGGTTGTCAGAACGGATACACTGGCCAGGAGAATTTTTAATATCGTCGCCTGGTGGAGATGTTGTCTTCATTTTCTCAGCGTTCGGGAACTGAGTTAACAGCCGAGCTTCGAAATCTTCCCTGCGTTCATACTCTTTCCCTCGGTAAATGAAAACTTTCCCCTGGAAACAATGACATTCATTAAATACCACCACAGCGGAAGGCCAGGACCTGTGCACGCACAAGTGCATTGGTCTTCAAAATATGCTTCAAAGGTTTTTGTTTTTTTTTAAAGTCGTTGAATTGAAGAACAGCTTGTAATTGCACTGGCCTTATTAATCAAGAACGCACAACCACGAGCCACGTAAGTTAATAGTATTTAAGAAGCACTGAACACAACATTACTGAGGTCCGCTGATGTATTTCAGTCTTAACAGTAACAATCAATTAAAAAAACCAGGAAGAACCAAGTGAGCGATTGGGGTCCGCCTTCTAGGGGGCGTGAGGCGCCAAGAGAGGGTAAAGGCATCAGGGCAAGTGGGTCTTGGTCTCCATGTTTTTCTTTTCGGGTAGGCCCTAATTAAATAGCTTTCATCCTCCGAGAGGAATTTAAGAGAGGATGACATTGAGGTGGGGCCTCAATGCTCAGAGCCTGAGCATGATGTTCTGAGCCGTCTCCCACAGGACACAACCAAGGGAAGAGCTGAACCACAGGGAGTGGGGTGGAGAGCAAAGCGGAGAGGCGTGAGGGCCGTGGCCTCCCCGGGGGTGAGAGACCAGAGGGGGATGACAGGACGTCCCTCACTGCACGTCAGCCTTGTGTGGAGAATTACCCACTGGTGAGTGACAGGTAGAACATTAGAGTTCTCCTTCTAAAGGCTGGATTTTGTCCATCTTCAATGGCACTTTGTCACCTCCATAAATCCCGAGTTGGAGAGTCCATCGGGGGGTGATTTTCGAGGGCAAGGTGACCTTGGGGTGGGTGTCAGGCAGGCGAGCATTCTTCCTTACACAGGCTGCCCTGTTGAGGCCACTTCTGTCTGGGTGTGACACGGGCCCTCCCTAAATGTACCTCTAGGGAATTTTCTGATTCTAAAATATAACAGGTCTCTGTACCTTCACAGATTCAACAGTGTGTTCTAAGCTGTCTACTGAATCACAGAAAGGTGGCAATGGGTAGTATGATGCCACCTCGGGCTCCGGAGCCTTCACCCCCTGCCTCCCAACATCCTGCCCGCCCCACCCTCGGGCTGTCTGATCCTAAAGGAAAACTGCAACAAGGAAAAGACACCACAGGATCCGAGAAATGGGAGGCTGGAGGCTGATGCTTTTCCTCGTGGGATCTGTTGTTTCAATCAGGGGACCCTGAGCCAGAGGCCCCAGACTGGCTGGCCATGAGTCAGGTGCAGCCCTATTATCTGTCATGACCCCGGCCAGATGCCAGAGAGGAGGAGAGACAGACAGCCAGACAGGATAGCATTCCGCTGGATATTTTTACACTTATCTCCTAGAGACTAAGTGTGAAGTCAAATTAAAATTTGTCTAATGAATGAATTTTCAAAAGATAAAGAGAGATCCTGTGGTACTCAATTCATTTCCTTCCCTAGCCCCAACTTATTCTGAGTCCCCATAAATCACTAAAGAAGGAACAGTTTAAGAATTTAATATTTTTTTCACTTTGTGCTTAGGTATGTCTTAAAGTACCCATTATGGAAGAAAAATGTTCTCTCTCCCTCAAAAAATAATGTCAGACAGAAACCAAAGTAATACGTAGTCTTAATTAGAAATATAAATACACAGTGTGGGCATCTTTTAAGGCTATATAAAGCCCAACATTTCAGAAATTCAGGAAGATTTAATGAATAACAGGCTACTATGAACTCGCATGCATTTATTCTGCTTTACTCTAGAAGACATAATAATAAAATGTATATAAAGGCTTTAACAGAAAAACACTAGTGAGTTAGAGATGAAAACACTACTAACATTTTCTAGAAATGTCAAGTATTCTGCATTCTGAAGCGGTCCCTTCAAACATGAAAATAAGGGGGAAATGTATATACAGTCAAAGATATTTATTCCTTGTAAGAACCATAAATACTAACATGAAGGCAAAAAACAAAACAAAACAAAAAAACAACCCACTGAGACCAATTCTTAAAGAAAAACAAAGCAAAAGGGATAGTCACTTCTCAGAGGCATTAAACAGACAAACATTTCACCCGCTTTTCTGTAACTGCTAATGTCATTGTCAGATTGGCCCCTGACAGGTGATCTGTGAAGCATAATAAATATATTGCTATAGTCCCACAAAATTATTCAGGTGTGGTGGGGACATCAGTTCAATATTAATCAAGCCAGTTAAACTCTTCATTCGCACTTTGCATTTTGTCCTTCTGATGGGGAGATGACCCAGTGCAGTCCCTGAAGCACACGGCGTGCGTGCCCTCCCAGCACACGCCAGGCATCAACTGGCTCGGGGACTGCAAAGTGCCTGCCCCGCCCCCAGTGCGTCGGGAAGCCAGGGCAGAGCCAAGGTGAGTGGCCGCGAGTGACAGCACCATCCACAGAGGGCCACATACAGGGTGTAATGCCTCAGCACAGCACAGGTCCACCATGACTTACGGTCAGTCTCTCTGTTTCTTAGAGACGCACATGGGGATACACCTACAGATTCATATGTATTAATTAAAGCCTTCAACAACACGGACTCCAAGCTCCTAATACTCTTCAGCTGGGTTTTTTATTTAAAATAGAGTTAATTTCAAAAATCTTCCCTAATTTGGGGAAGATTTATAACCTAATTTATAACCAAACGTCCCTTATTCATTCTTTGGGAAGAAGACGTTCTCCAGAATCTGGGTTTCTGATCAACCACTGTCTTAGGCATGTCCTGTCACAGCCGCACAAGGAGAGAGGACCCAGTCACCCAGGACCCCGTGGGAGTGCATAAACCAAGAGGTCACCTTCTGCAGCAGAGCAGGCCTGCGAGGCTCGCTTGTGGTTGTCATATAAACAATGTCAGGTCCTCAGCAAGTAAGTCCTTCCTGCTGGTGGCACCGTGAAGGATGTCTCATCCTGTCATGGTCTTCTGTGTAATCAGAACCACCAGGCCCAAAGGAACACACTCTGGGACGAGAAAAACCTCCTGACTGGATCTAACTGCCCCAGACAGCTGTGTTCTAGGCAAGAGACCACCTTCCTGGAAACCAGAGGAATCCTGCATGGTCTCCCAGCGTAAGAGAAAACCATGTGTCTTAAAAAAAAATATCATAAGAAATGACAGGAAATCATGACCCACTGGTCAATGGCATCCAAGAGAAACTTTAAATAATTCTACTAGTAGGTCAAACAGCATTTATTTACACAATTTCTCCTCTGGCCTCATGAGTGCTAGGGAATGGGCATCCAGCTGACGATCACGGTATTTCTTCGATCATGTGTCAAACAACACACACCTGTCTAAGGGATGGAACGTGATTCAGAATCCCCAGCAATGTGGCCATGGAAATCCACTTACAATTGCTCATAGAATTAAAAATACACACATTCATGGCAGCATTTTTCACAATAACCAAAACAACCCAAACATCCATCGAAGGACAAAGGGATAAACAAAATGTGGTATAGCTGTATAATAGGGTATTATTCAGCCATAAAAAGGAAGGGAATTCAGATACACGCTCCAACACAGATAAACCTTGACGACCCTATGCCGAGGGAAACGGGCCAGACACAAAAGGACAAACACCGTATGATTTTACTTTATGAGATACCGAGAATAGGCAAATTCCTAGAGACATAAAGTAGCATGGTGCTGCCAGGCCCTGGGAGGTGGGATAATACAGACCTAACTGTTTAACCGGGTACGGAATTTCAGTTTGGGGAGATGAAAAAGTTCTGGAGATGGGGATGATTGCACAACAATATTAATACCCCTGAACTGTACACTTAAAGTTGGTTAAGATGGTAAATTTTATGTTATCTGTATTTTACCACAATTTAAAAAAACACACATAAATCTCCAGTTCTGTTTAGGAAAAATCAGATGGAAAGTTTATATGCAATCAAAGAAAATATTATCAGGCCTTCTTTCACAACCTAAGCTAAGCACACAGAGCTATGGAGAGCATGGATTCAGACTCTGACCCACGGATGCAAAGTTCAAATCACCCATCAGAATGGGAAGGAGCTCTCTGGCCACAGAGCAATCCTGGCTCAGAATAAATAGAATCAAAATTTACCCGAAGGAACGTGGGGAATCCTTGTCCATAGTAGCCAACAGCAAAATAGTCAGGCTTAGGTCTTATCACTTTGACGATGTTTTCATAAAACTGAGCCTGTTTTTTCTGAAAGGAAGAAAGAAAATTTCAGGTTTGAATAGAGTATTTGAGCATCCATTCTTCCAGAATCTTCCAGTGGGCTCTTCAAGCTTTGGCAATTCCAGTTGGGTGGGAGGCGCAGTGTGGACACAGGCATCTGGTCATCTTGCCACACGGCTTTGATAGAATTTGTCACTCACTCACAGTGTTTAGCAGGGAATCTGACCAAAAGAGCCAAATTCAGTAACCAGTAGGATTTACCCATGTTTTCGATAACCAAAGAGGTGCCACAGAAATGGTTTTTCTTATGATTAAATGGCTGGTCTTTATTTAGTATTTTAAAAACTGGTATCAATTAGATCCTGGCATACATTAAAGAAGAACTTAAAAGGGCAGAATTCTGGTCTAAATTAATGGCGGGAGAAAGGTCTGGGCTACTCTCCCATCACGCACGCTCTCGTAGACGGGATCAGTTTTAATCCAGCAGCAATTCTCAGAGACTCTTAGGCCAACAAGAGCACTGTACACATGGGGTCAGCAGTTGTTTACACACAAATGCTCAGGGAAATCTTAGAGTCTGGTTTCCAGAGCTCAGGTGGGACTAAAAGTGAGTAGTTGTGGGCCAGAATCCGCCCGCAAATACATCAAGACCTTCCTCTTGGACAAAATGGAGGACCATGGCCAAGGCCGCAGAAGACCTGAAGAGACTCTCCAAGTTAAAACAAAAAGCGAAAGCCCAGAAAGACAAGTATAGATCGCCTGTGTTCATTTAACTAGAAAGAAAAGGAGACCTACCAGCAACTCGCTGAGTTGTTCGTAATCAAACATCTCATTTTCATACTGTTCGGCAAGTTCCTTACCAAGAGCAATGGCCTCCTCCCACATCTGTGAGGAAAAAGAAAGAAAAAGGAGAAAGAAACCCAACGCTGAATGGTGCAGTCAAGGTATGAAATAATAATAATACAACTGCTCATCATAAAATAATTTGGAAATACACTTGCGAAATCTGAAAACACTACAGAATAATGTTAGAAAAATACAAGTATTTTCTAGAGGCTCATGTCCTTTGGCTCATGACCAGATGCCAGTTGACCAAACGGGGTCCACTACTGGCTTGCCAGTCACGTTGGCCTCTGCCCAGGGTCAAAGCAGTCTGGCTGCCAGGTCTGGCCTGCTCCGTCCTCTCTCCTGCTGCCAGGACGGTTGCTGAATCCCATCCATTGGAGCAGCAGGGGAGCTGGTGGAAGGAACCGCTGTGCACGAGAGGCTACAAGGAGCCTGGTTTTGCTACTTTCCCAAATCATCCCACTGAACAAACGCTGGACTGTCAGAAAGAACAAGATATATTTCAACTCTAAATTAAAGCTCGCAAGGAGTTCGTTTCTGTGTGCAAATACTGTGAGGCTATAAAGTGTGCCATCATTTTGAAAGGGGGAACTTGTTGGGGTAGTAGTTTGAAAGGGGATTTCCAATCAGGTAACTGATTTATTAGAAAGCTGATAAACTTTGACATTATGGGATACTTTGTTGATGCATATGATAAGACCTGAATTTCCCTTATTTTTCTTGGGGAAAAATAAAGTGGTTTACTCGAGAAGAATAGGTCACATATGGAGGAACCATCTCCTCCAGGAAGCCTTTCTGGGTGCCAACTCTCCTTGGGCTCCCACGATGACCCAGGATCCCCTGAGTTCCAACTTCTGGTTATGTACAGAAACTGGAGTGCTTGTTATTCCTTCTTAGAGACCACAGGCCCCTTGAGGAACTGAGCATTAATGAAAACCACTAGACCTCAGCCGAGGGCCTGCTCAAGAATGTTTATCGAAAGAATTGAAGGTTGTTGACTTCAAATCAGGAAAGCACCACACCATCCCACATACTGTCCTCAGCCAGGAACCATCCATTTCCCGACCGCCACCATCCCCACAAGATGGTAGCGCTCAAGTCAGGACAAATGATTCCGAGCTTGCTCTCTGTCCAGCAACTCTCTTGCCTTGTCAGGCGGGACTTCATTATACCCATTTTGCAGATAAGGAAGTTGGGGATTAGACAGGTCAGTAAGTTGCCCAAGGGCACAGAGAGGTGTACCTGGCCCAGCTTGATCTTTTTCCAAAGTTCTTGCTTTTGATGACTGTCTTAGTTTGGGCTGCTATAATAAAGTACCATAGATGGGGTGGCTTAAAAAGTAGACATTTATTTCTCACAGTTCTGGAGGCTGGGAAGTCCAAGATCAAGGTGCAGGCAGATTCAGTTCTTGGTGAGGGCTCTCTTCCTGACTTGTGCACCTGCACGTTCTCACTGTGTGCTCACAAGGCCTTGGGCGAGCTCTCTTTCTCTTCTTAGAAGAGCAGGAATCCCATCATGGGGGTTCAACCCTATTCATGACCCAGTATAATTGTATTTACCTCGCAAAGGCCCCATCTCCAAATACTACCACGTGGTGGATCAACATATGCATTTGGTGGTTAGGGGTGGGAGGTGGGATGCAGACATTCAGCCCGTAACAATGATGATGTGCTAGCACTTTCAGCTTCTCCCACCCCCTCCTACTGAGATGGGCCTGAAAGGATTCTAGGCTAGTCAGGAATTCCAGGCTCCCACTGAGAACGCAAGCTGCCGGGCCCCTTCCTGGCACACCCTTGTCACTGAGGACTCATCTGCTGGTTGGTCTTTGCTTCGTAGTAGAATGACCCATGGAGGGTCTGATGTATTACTGAACAGCCCAACAGACTTAAAATACTCTTTATAGCTACGACTTAAATAAACCATCTGCTATTTTTTTTATGAGGAAAAAAGTTCCTCTGGAATCAGAGTTACATTTTAATAGTCGGCAAGACAAAATAAAAATAAGCCCAGAGTAGAAATAGATTTCTGAGATGGGACCAGTGCCCAGGGAAGGGAGAGAGCGACCACAATGCCCTTCCTGGGTCTGAACACCTGTTCTCCCCCTCCCAGAGCCGCCACAGTTCTCCACCCTGCTGGAACTTTCAGAGCTGCCTTGCCTCCTCTGAATATTTTCATCTGCTGCTCGAGATCCTCCCTGGGGTCTTCTGCCGGCGCCCAAGCTCACGTTTCTGGGAAGGAGAAAAGCCTCTCGCACTTTCAATATTTCTTTTAAGCTCCAGTGACCAATTCCTCCCTTAGTGTATTTCCATTTCAAAGAAAACATTACTTTTACTTGTGATTCTCTGTCACGGGATTTTTCTTTAAGTTTTCTGCAAGCAAACACACACTCTATTAGCTGCCTAGAATGTCTGGGCGTCTAATTTATTACTGAGTAAAAGCTTAATCTGTTTTTATCCTAAATGACAGATGAGATGCTTTAGATACATATCAAAAGTAATTGTTTTTTTTTTTTAAAGTTAGTCTTGAATAAATATCTTATCCGACTCACCCTGAGGTGACATGGTTGTGTTTTCCATCAGATTTTCTATAAATAACACCTTCTCCCGCCTTCCCCCCACTTCCCAGGATCTTAAAGGATTCTGCATTAGGGAGATTTCCATCTATTTTTAATTGGATAGGGCTCTGAGGAGTGTGGGCAATTCATATTTCTGATGTTGAACACCCTGGAAGGTATTTCAGTACCGGGGAGAAGACAGAGTCAATGCGATCAAAATTTAGATTACCTCTGCGAATGAACTGCTTTAACCCGTGGGTTTGAACATCCTGCCTTAGCTCCTGGGCTAGGCTATGAGGTTATCACAGCCCTGAATGAAAAAGCACCAGATCCTCACACAACCTTGTTTTCTGATTAAAATCCTTAATCAATTTTATTGCGTTCTTGACATCGCTAGTTACTTGAAGCACGAAGTGCATCTGTCCCACCACCTCTTTCCATCAGACGATTTTGGTCCTACATGCTCTTGAGAGAACCATCTTGTCTCCATCATTCTGAACCTCCCAGTTTCAGGATGTCCCATTTCTTCAAGTTTCATGAATGCAAACTTTTGTTTCTTCTTCTTCTTTTTAACAAGACTTACTTATTTGAGAGAGAAAGAGAGAGAGAGTACACAAGTGGGAGGGGCTGGGAGAGGGAGAGAGAATCTCAAGCAGACACCGTGCTCAGTGCGAGGCTTGATCTCACGACCCTGAGGTCATGACTCAAGATGAAACCAAGAGTCGGATGCGCAATCAACTGCGCCACCCAGGCACCCCAAACTCTTTTTTTCTTCTTCTGATGAAACTCCATCCTTAGTTCCCAGACAGCAGTGGCTGTAGAGAGCGGACCAGCTATTGATATCCTATGCAGAACTATTCAGCTGATGGTGGGCCAGTCGGATAGGGCAACACTGACCTCACTGGACAAGGGAGCATGGCAGATGAGGGAGAAGACACCAGCCAGGACAACTGTCCCTTACCAATAATTCAGGCGGGCGATGACTCACTGGGACAGCGTGGACAACTCTGGTTTAATTCACTTACTAGCTGTAAGTGACTCACTGGTGAAGACCTTTTTGTGTTTTTTAAAGATTTTATTTATTTACTTATTTGAGAGAGAAAGAGAGCACACGAGCAGGAGCAGAGGAAAACGGAGAAGCAGACTCCTTACTGAGCAGGGAGCCTGACATGGGGCTTGATCCCAGGACCCCAAGATCATGACCTGAGCCGAAGGCAGATGCTTAACCGACTGAGCCACCCAGGCACCCCCAGTGAAGATGTTTTATGGGATGCCTCTACAATTCAGCTGTTTTTCCAGGCAGTTGTTGGGGGAAGACTCATATTCAACGACCTCTGAATCTCCTGTTCCACATAGGTCTTTGATGTTTGAATGGATGAGGATGCTATGGTATGGAAGAATCCAGAGCACCAGCTGAGGCCCCTCAGCACAGAGGGGAGCAAGATGGACTAGAACTAGCTTTAGGTCTTGTCCAGTGAGCGAGTCCAGGAGCTTGCGACAGTCCCTTTCCAGTCCCTCTAGCATGAAGACGTGTGTCATGAGAAGGGCCATGGTGACTCAAGGGCTGTGGCTCAGCTGAAAAAATAGAGACCCTACAGTCATCGCCCTCCCTCTAGGCCTCTTGGTTTCCTGAGCCAAGCCCCATCCTTGGTCTTCCTGGTGTTTTCAACTGGCGTCGGCTGATCAGATCAAAGGACCCACATTTTTCCAAAGACATTTTTCAGAGAGAGAGTCAGGCCCCACCTTCTCAGCCCAGCAGGTGGACTGTCTCTGTGGTCTGCAGCTCAGAGCCGCCCGATCGGGCAGTAAGAATGCTGTCCTCTCCTCGAGGGTGCACGAGACAGAGCCAGCACCCGAGAAAGCTGGTCAGACAGGGCAGGAAACCAGTGGGACCTGGAACTTGGGCCGGGCTCAGGGAGCCTTTATGACAATGTTCTCGAACAGAATCAACAATAAAGCCTGCCCCTCTGGTGCAGTCAAGTACTCAAGGAATCACTGCCCATCTAAGTCATGTTCATGAACGTGGCTTGTTTTTCCCCCACAGAAATTCTTTACCTGTCAGAACAGGACACTATTTGCTCAGCTTTTAACACCCTGAAAGGAAAAGTGAGGAAGGAAACATATCTTTAAACACAGAGGTTTTGCCTTTTTTCCTCAGGCCATGACATCTGTAGTTCTCCAAGACTTTGAAAAGCCTAAATCAGGCTGCAAAGAAGGGATATTGCTTCATTCTGCAGGTAGTCATCGGGCACTTATGATGGGCGCGGGCTCTAGAGAACAGGGGGAGGACGGAAGTGAGTACAGATCGCTGTTTGAGGAACAGCGTAGAAAGGAGGAGACTGACAGTTGCCGGAGAGGAGTCAGAACGAGAAAGCCTTCTTTTATAGATGGGAGAAACAAGGGCACGGTTGTAGGCGAATTTGTATTAGTCCACAGAGAGCAAAACATGGACACTGCAGGGGCGGGGCAGGCGGGCAAGGGGCTC